ACTGCCTAACAGGTAGTGTACATCCTAGTTTCTTTTTGGTTAATACTAAACAGAACATATAACTGTGCACTGTATCATTGTACTGTAAGTCATAAAGAGGGTCTAATATCTCAGTGAGACTGTTGGCAACAACAAAATAGCTTGAAATGTAATGTTTTCTGATCAATCCTATGAACAAAAGATACATTTATTCTCAGTATATTGGAACAAGTCATCAGTTTTATGATGAATTCCTTATTCAAATTGCAGGGGAGCTGTGCGATTTTTCCCCAAAGGCCCATCATCCTGCATCATAGAAGTGAGAATTTTACTTGAAACATAACTTTGTCCTTTTCCTTTTGACTTCAACTTATCTCTATTCAACATTAATTGTTACATTTGGGATAATCTTGGAAGATCCTATGCATGTAGGGGTAAAAATTGTTTGCACCTTTCTTCTCCTAGTTTCTTATAGGCAATCATACAATTGAGAATGTGTTGACAGAAATTGCTATATTGTTTTGGTTTTTGACTGCTCAAAATTGACCAGTGCTTCTCCTTTTTTCAGCTAACATTTTCATATGAAGTGCCTCAACTGTTGGTTCCAGTGGCATCAGTAAGCACTCTTAACTCCTATATTAGAAACTGGAATTCACATTTGTTTTAAAGAAGTATGCAATCATCTCAACCTTGCTTGGGCATAAAATCTTTTTCAAACAATGAGATTGCAGATTTATTATAATAGCAGAGACTGTGATTTTCAAGCTTCACTTTATAACATATTTTTTCACCTTTTCAAATATTGTCCAGGCATTGAAACCATTTACTGAAAACCTGCTGACACAAGGGTTGGAACGGTTTGCAACATTTGCTAAGAGTTACTCAGCTGACACACCTAAATGATGTATAAACTAAATTCATGCCAGTAACATCCATTGGTCCTATATCATGCAATAATCATCTAGCTGCAATGTATGACTTGTCAGCTAGGAGCAAGCAGTTTTAATTCTTATCATGGTCTTACAGATCATATAGCTGCATGGCCATTCACTGTTTATTGCTCTAGTATAATTGCAGACTTCTAGTCTTGATTGCTCCCCATTCATATCGTATTGCAGTGCACTGAACTCAATAGGTAGTTCAAAATGCCTTTCCTCACATCGATAAAGAGACGCCAGTATTTTCTTTGATTGGGCAACTTCGACTGTGCTTCTGCCTTTACATAGCATTATGCTCATCAATGGAAGTTTTGCTTTCGTTATTATATGAACATGAAAATTACAAATGTACTATTCGAGTATTCAATATGTGTTAAAAAGTGTTGAAAAACTTGTTTTACTAATCACCATAAAAAATATGCAACAAAAACTCATGAATTGAAACATCTCACTCATCTCATTCATTAATACTATCTCTTTTTTTAATTGTCCAATTTTGACTTTAACTTGTCATTTTTGACAAATCAAGAAAAGATAAAAAATTTTACTTATTATAAACTCAATTTATTTAGAAAGTTAATGTTTTTGAAAAAGATAAAACTTCTTTAATGAGTAAATTAAATTTGGAATTCTATCAATTACTCCCTCCCTTCACTTTTACTTGTCAGTTGTCATAGTTTGATTTGGGACCCCATTAAAAAAATAATTAATGATATATGTATTTTACCAAACTAACATTTATTAAATAATATTTTGAAAAATGATTTGGAAAATAAGTATTTAATATTGATGGTAAAACACGAAAAAATAGTCTTTTTTCGATAGGTCAAAAGTGACAAGTAAAAATTAAAATATATTTTAGGAATAAATGACAAGTAAAAGTAAACGGAGGGACCAATTAGAATAAAATGATAAACTCGTTATGTCAATTATTATTTTTGTCAAATAAAAGATAGACAAGTAAATAGGGTTCGAAGGAGTACAATAAATTAAATGATTTTCTCCATATAAACAAAAGTACAATACATATTCGACCATAATATTATTTTTAAAATTATTCCCGTATGGCCGTTATACTACTGGTAATAAATAAAAAAACATGGAATCCGTGGTGGTCCAAATCAGAAATCCAGTGGCCTAATTGACATGTGGCATGCATGCCTATCTTTTCGTCCTCCACTCTCCGCCAAATGTCTGCAACCGCCGTCGTACCTGTTTCAACTACCATATCCGCCGCTGCAACTTCTGCTTCCGCCTCCCACATACTCAAATCTCAATCACAATCATCAGCTCATTGTTTCACTTAATGGAAGAAGAAGAAAGTCAATTAGCGCATCCTCTTCCTCCTTCATCAGCGCATACCGATTCAACTGCAGCATCTCTAGATCCTTCCGGAGGATCTCTTATCCTTCTCCCATCAGGATTAGACCGCTCTCTCCTGTCATGGAATGGCAAGATTGCACGTAAGTTGACATCTTCTTTTGTATTCAAATACTTATTTAGAGCTGAGATTTTTGTTCGATTTTGTGATTTACTTGCCAAATATGTGGTGGTTGAGTGCTATTCTGGTCTACTATTTGCAATCTAACTGTGAGAAATTTCGATTTATGATGAACTCAGGATCAAAATGGAAGTAGATGTGCCCATTTCAGTTGCTTATAAGTGTTATTCTGATAGTAAGGCCATTCCTGAATGGATGCCTATTATTTCAACTGTAAAGGTACGCAATGCCATGTTATCTCTGCATTTGAGCTTAGCCGAAGAGTCATTTCAAATGTACTCAATTATATTACCTTCTCTTTGCAATTAAACTATTAAGACTGCACGACTGTTGGTTTAAGTATGGTGTTATTGGCTGTTTTATCCGGAATGATGCATTTCAAGTATTACTCCATTGCTCATTTTATATGACCTTGTTTGATTGGATGCAAATTTTAAGTACCAGTAGTGAACTAGTAGTCGAGAAAGAAAATATTAACAGTAATGAATGGAAGTGTTAAAAGTAATATAGTTAGACATTATCCTGCTAGAACAAGTCTAAATTAAGTGAAACAAATCAAAATTCTTGAATATTATTAGGGGAATGATGTTACACATTTTAGGAACTTCTAAAATGGGAAGAGTGTCATATAAATTGAACGGAGGAAATATTACCTTCTCTCTTTACAATTTCTTCCCAGGATGTTATGAAGTATTTTTCCCATATTGCTGGGTAGTAAGTATGCTGGTGTCCTGCATCCTGAATTACTTCTCTTTGTCGTGCTGCCATGCTGGTGTCCTGCATCCTGAATTACTTCTCTTTGTCATCTTGACTATCTCTTCATCTGTCTCAATGCGTGCTTCACTTAATGAGTATCATTGTCAGATTTTTGATTTGCACTTTGGATATAAAGAAACCACTCACCAAAAACAATTGAAGTTGAATGCAGATGTATTAACAATTAGGGGTCTACATTCTAGTTCTTGATTATTTCAGACATCCATTACACAGGTCATCTTACCTTCTGAATCTTATTCTAAGGGAACTTGATGTTAGACTCTCTTGCCAGATTTTGGAGGATAAGCCTAACTTAGCAAGATGGTCATTGAAGTATAAAGCTTTCGGGCAGAACATTGAATATTCAGGGCTAGCTCGAAATATGCAGGTAAAATACCCCTTTAGTTAAGCACTTCGCTCATTATGTTTCTTTGATCCTAAACTCAGTTTTTTATTCTGTTTTACAGCCTACGCCAAACCAGAAGATAGTGTGCATCCTAGTTTCGTTTTGGTTGACTCTAAACAGAACATATAATTGTGGGAAGTCATAAAAGAGTTTTTTCTTCCATCAGACCAATAGGCCATAGATGATAAAATCATGTTGCTTTGGTGCTATTGGCAGAATATTTCTGGTCTAGTATCTCAGTGAGGCAGTTGGCAACAACAAAATAGCTTGAAATATAATGTTTTCTGATGAATTCCATGAACAAAAGATCATTTATTCTCAGTATATTGAAACAAGTCATCAGTTTTATGATGAATTCCTTATTCAAATTGCAGGGGAGCTGTGCGATTTTTCCCCAAAGGCCCATCATCCTGCATCATTGAAGTAAGAATTTTACTTGAAACATAACTTTGTCCTTTTCCTTTTGACTTCAACTTATCTTTATTAAACATTAATGTTTACAACAAATACTTTGGGATAATCTTGGAAGATCCATATGCAGGAAGGGGTAAAAACTGTTTTGCTCCTTTTCTTCTCCTAGTTTCTTATAGGCAACCACATAATTGAGAATGTGTTGACGGAAATTGCTATATCGTTTTGGTCTTTGACTACTCAAAGTTGACTAGTGCGAAGTCCTTTTTTTCAGCTAACATTAGTTGGTTCCAGTGGCATCAGTAAGCACTCTTAACTCCGATATTAGAAACTGTAATTCACATTAATTTTTAGAAGTATGCAAATCATCTCAACCTTGCTTGGGTATAATATCATCTCAAATAATGAGATTGCAGATTTATTATGATAGCAGAGAGTATGATTTTCAATTTTCACTTTATAATACATCTCCACTTTTTCAGCTATTGTCCAGGCATTGAAACCATTTCTTGAAAACCTGTTGGCAGAAGGATTTGAACGCTCTGCAACATTTGCTAAGAGCTACTCAGCTGACACACGTAAATGATGTATAAACTAAACCCATGCCAGTAAATCAGTAATGGCTCACTCTTCCTCACTTTTTATGTTAGGGGAAGAAGCGAAAAAAATTGTACAGTTATGGGGGACGGACTTTTAAAGGTGCAAAAGACCAACTGTAACTTCTTAGATATTGTACAGAATATAAAACCATTAAGAAATTAACTGTATTTGAAGAGCCAAAGCAGTAGTAAGGCTATTTGAAGCTCACTCATGTTGAGAGAGAACTCCAAGAGTCGCTATAACATCCATTGGTCCTATGACGTGCAATGATCATCTCGCTGCAATCTATGGCTAGGAGATAGCGGATAAACTCACTTCACTAGCACCATAAATAGGTAGACTTGTTGCAAACTAGTTATTATACGGAGCAAAAAGTACCAAGTGTTCATTATGTACAACTAATAGAATGAGTTACATAAACACGGCCATATGCTAACAGCCATAATAAACTAAAAGTCAGTGTAGCTCTCAACTCACCAACGAATGGTATGTACAAACATCCACCCAAATACAAAAGCAAGAAAAGAAGATCTTACTACCAAAACTATAGCTGCTCTTTATTCTGCCCAAATGAGGCAGCTGCAAACAGCTTGCACCGCCATCAATGGTTCCCTTTGTTGTCTAACCAGCTCTGCAAGCTATACAAGGCTTCTGCAGAGAAGCTGCAGCTCCTTAAACTCCTGTGACGCATTGGTGATAGCTCTTGATGATCAGGGGAAGTAAAGCATACAACAATTACTGTGAGATTGTCAAATGTATTGAGCCGCAAGGCCTCCATGACAAGGTCCTTGGCACACTGTTCAGGATCATCATGCCGTCTTAGCCCACGACGCACTAGACTAACTGCTTGTTGACTAGACAAGACATCCCAGATTCCATCACAAGCAATAATAAGGAATTCATCCTCCTCTGTCAGAACTATCTGTCGAAATTCTGGCTCTGCAATCAGAGGAGAGGCAGAGCCACGAGGCAGCTTCATGTCCCAGTCCCCCAAGGCCCTGGTCACTGATAGTATACCATTCAGATAACCATCATCAATAAATCCACCTAACTCTTCAACACGCCTCCTCTCTGATGGATAATTTGGTCTATGGTCTTGAGACATGTCAATTGCCTCTCCGTTACGGCAAAGGACTGCTCGGCAGTCTCCTGCATTTGCCACCATTAATAACCTAAAACACAAGAGAGTATCATTTAGATAACAAGAATACAAATATATGCACAAAGCTAAGCAATTGTTCCATTGAACAACCAGGTCAACTCTAATGCTCACCCCCCTCAGCAACTTCGTTGTAAAATCAATATTTATGGTACAAAACTTGGTAAAACAAAGTTCAGCAAATTCCTATACACAGACCATTTTCTCTCTCTCATATATCAAGCAGCATCCTTAGGTAAGGCGTAAATAACTTATGACATGTACTTGGGTAGTTGGACAAGTCAATACCATTAGCTGTGAAAGGAGTGTCAAAAGATGAAGTCCAGGACATAAAAGGCTCGGAAGAAGAGACAAAAAGCAACATAGCTATGCGTGTGAGTACACCATAACCATTTTTCTACAGGACGGAGAAGTCGTTACTTGTAGGTGCATCACAATGAATCACGATCTTACCTTCCCAACACAAGAGCTGTCAGTGCAGTGGTTCCGGAAGAACTGCTAACATTGCAGTCATCGGCTAAAGCGAGGTCAGCCAGAAGAAACCCCTTCCTAAGAGAACTCTCCACCCCTTCTAGAAATGCATCATCAACTTCTGAAGTCTCGGGAAAATCGGTGTCTGAAAATAATAATCTGAGTACATTTTCTCTCACATGAGCTGCAGCTTCTGGTCCTCCATGGCCATCAAATACCTATAAAACTAAATGTTAGACAAACTTTGCCTTTGAAAATGCACAGGGACAAATAAGGCATATGCAAATAACTAGCAGTTACCCCGTAGAAAGCACTGGGCTTCGGAAACTTCACGAGTGAGCCAAGATGCGCAGATAGATCATCTATCCTTATATGTTCATCTTCCATGAACCTACGCGGGCCAGTATCAGCAAAGCTACCTGAGCGAATGTTAGGAATGAATTGCAATACTGTTGACTCTGGGGATTTGACATCCTGAAAAAAAAGTCTGTCAGACTAATCTTGCACACAACCAAGAAAAAGAAAAACTGACACTAACTAGAATTAATCATTTTGGCAGGGGAGAGTTATATTGAGAAAAAGGCACATCCGCTGAATATATTCAATTTTGAAAAAACAAAACTCCCAAATGAAGGAAGGGGTTTGCAGATGAATTTTTTTCGCGGCCTCAAGATAGTAAATTAGATAAAAGACATTCAACTGGTCAACGTCTTTTTTCAAAACTGAGAGCAGACTGAGCAATTAATTATCTAGCATGATTTATCAGGTTAACTACTTCTAATGATAACATTTCAATAAAACGTTTCATCCCAAACAACTGAATTCTCAAACTCTTAATTGTTCACCAGTTTGTCAATCTAGACAGAAGCTTAAAATGTCTTAGCATGAGCATTAACAAAAAAGGAACTTAAAAGGTTACAAATTTAAGAAAACACCTCATTTTTCATGAAGTTTTCTGATTTGTTTACAACCATCAGCTCTAATTGCCACTATCCAGGTGGTGTGACTTAATCATGGATAACTTGTCGGTTCGTGGAAATGGAACAAATTTGGATGTCCCTGCTTAACTTGGTATGCTAAGGTAGGCTTATTAAGATCATTCATCTATATACTTAAAGTACCTTTGATTAAATTAATAGTTTTTCTTAAGTTATAGATACTTTTTATGGATTAAAGTAGTATAATTACTAAGAAAACATAATTGGAACCTCATTTTCTCTTTAGTTAACTTGGTTACTTAAACACCTCATTTTTCATTAAGCTTTCTAATTTGTTTACAACCATCATCTCTAATTGCCACTATCCAGGTGGTGTGACTTAATCATGGATAACTTTTCGGTTCGTGGAAACGGAACAAATTTGGATGTCCCTGCTTAGCTTGGTATGCTATGTCACTTGCTAAGGTAGGCTTATTAAGCTCATTCATCTATATACTTAAAGTATCTTTGATTACATTAATAGTTTTCTCTTAAGATATAGATAATTTTAATGGATTAAAGTAGTATAATTACTAAGAAAACATAATTGGAATCTCATTTTCTCTTAGGGCTCGTTTGGTGTGAGGTATAATAACAAATAGTCCCGGGATTAAATTATAGTACCGCTTATTTTGTTGTTTGGTTGGCAAGTTCGGGATAACTTATCCCGGGATTAATAATTAGTACCGGGATAAGTTATCCCTCTCCTTGGGTGGTATAGTAATCCCGGGATAACTTATCCCGGGATAAAATAGGTAAATGACAAAAATGTCTCTTTCAACCCTTTTGTTATATCACTTTTTACATTAATGAAGGGCATTTTTGTAAACAAATAAATTGTTCTTAAAATTTATTATTTTGAATACAACAAACCAAACACTCAATAAAAAATAATCCCAACACAACTTATCCCATCATAACTAATCCCAACATAACTTATCCCAACATAACTTATCCCATCATAACTCATTTTCAAACCAAACGACCCCTTAGTAACTTGGTTAAAGACTTACTATTAACAGCTTATTTAGATTTGTTCTTCGAATGAGAACAGTGAAGTAATGTAACTCACTATTCCCTCAATCCTTCACCCCTGACCAAAAGAGAAAGAAGAATCTGTCGTCCTCCTTGTCCCGCCTTCCAATCCCCTCTGTCATCCTCTTTATTCAAACATAGCCACATGCCAGATAAATCAAGCTACCAAGTTACCACAACTCGCATTAGACAAGAAGAAGAGTTGGTTTATTTAGTTGGGAGGACTCGACTAATTCTCAACTATTCAGACTACCTTAGCAAATGCTATAAATAGTATATTGAAAAAGCCAATTAAGCTCTGCATTTCCAGTCTACATTGGTCAATGGTCATTTTCCATCAGTGAACAATTTCAACATGGCTAATTACACGCATGCACCTACAGATTCATTCTAAATATAAAACTGGATGCATCTTCATTGACCACCAAGAGATACTTTACACTGTTGGTGTAAATGGGATCCTCCAGAATTTTCATGAATATTTTTGCCTGCGCATCATGATTACATTATTGACTAAACTTAGCAATAGCCGTTAACTATAAAACCATCAACCTTAACTTAGAAACTTAACAGTTTAAAGGAATTTGTAGTGGAAGGAGATAAGACACATGCCGGCTAAATCAAGCTACAACTTGAGCACAACCCGCATCAGACAAGAAACACCGTTAGTTTATTTAGTTGGGAGGGTTCAACTAGTTCTCAATTCGCCTCAGCAACTAAAAGCTATTATCCCTTATCCGTACTTTCTAAAAGTCGATTACGCTCTGTATTTCCAACTTTACATTGGTCGGTATCTTTTTCCAACACACACTAGATACTTCCGATGTGGCTGGCTAACCATATGCAACTAGAGTCATTGTAAATGTGAAAGTGGATGCATCTTCTCTGACCACCAATCTATACTTAGCAATAGCCGTTAACTATAAAACCCTCGAGCTTATCTCATTTTCTTGAACCCGTTTATGTCAAGAAAAATACGAGGAAAATAAAAGGACCTTAAACCGCTTCCTTTAAATGGATGCTCATCATGGCACCTACTCTGATAACCATAAAACTCTCAAGCTCAACAAAAAGCACTCACAAAAAAATTCCTTTTTCATACTAGTTCTCTCTTCAGACACCTAAAACCTTTTCCGCGCATGTAATGATACTTGTCCAATACTTATGAACTCATACGGTTTATCATAATCGTCAAGACTCAAAATTCGATAACACCAATAGCTTCAAACAAACACATGTCATAAGCAAATACATTCAAGGGGTCATGCTTAGAACATCAGTCCATTATAACATCCATTGTGATGCAGCAAAATAAGCTTATATAAGTTGTTGAAACCCTAAAATTCATATGTTTGATTGATTAGATTATGGCAAAAAGATATAACATCATACAACGTAAGCTAATATACTAAAGTTTTTAAAGGGTATCACCCTTTTCTCCTTTTAAGCTCAGAAATGAAATCAAGATCCAACACACCATTGAACAAATACATCAATTCCTTAATCTTCCAAGACAAGAAGGGACCTGAAGATACTAAAACACAAAACATGAAGATCCATAAAAACAAACACAACCCCAGAAAACAATTCAATCAAACAATCAACTACATCTCAATCCCAAGCCTTTCTTCAAAGAAAGGCAACTAATAAACGAAAAAAATAAAAATTACAAGCTACAGGGGAAAAAAGACTTACCAAATCAGAACAACAGGGGACATCCAACACAGGGATGGTATGTTGAAGTTGAACCATAACCTCAGCTTCAGCTCCCATTTTTAGCAAAATCAAAACAAAAAACTGGAAATTAAGCGATGAAAACTGAAAAATACTTTGTTATTCTTTGATGGGTGTGTGTAAAGATTCGATCTTTTTGTCTAAAGAACAAGATTCTAGGACTTTCTTGAGAAATTCAATACAGAAAGAAACAAAACAAAAATCTTGATAAGCTGGATTTCAACTGCTGTTTATAGAAAAATTCTGCGTGTGAGAAACAGCTGTAAAAAAGTCGTGGGGACGGTGGACGCGTGTACTGTCTAAGCCAAAATGGTTTTCTTCAAATCCTAATGAAGCTTCGATTAGAATTAAGGGGTAGGTTTCATCTTTTTTGAGATATTTCTCTTCTTTTTTAAAAATAAATAAATAATAATTTAAATTTAGTAATTGATTTGAAACCTTTCCTTTTCTTCTTTATTCCTTTTTTTTTTTTTTTTTTCATTTTTGTTATTTGATTGAACAAAAATAAGTCGACATGATTGAAATTGATTAAAATATCTTAATGATGTTATACATGAACTTCAAGATAGATGTGATATGGAGCAAAAGTTTAGACCTAAAAATATTTGTGCGATACTCATAATATATACACATATTTTCATAAACGTTATTTATCAATTGAGAATTTTTTTCTCTTTTTTAAAAAGGTTGCCTATCAATTGAGAACTTTCTTTGGATTTTGATATCTTTTATTTATAAAATTGAATTAAATGAAAAATACATTAGAAGGGAAAATTAGTCCAATTACAATCATTTATATTAATATTAAATAATTTAAAAGTCTTTTTGCAAAAAAAATAAAAATAAATGAGGTAAATGTAGTATAACAAACCACAAGGAAAGTCATTGTTACGAGATCAAATCCGAGAAGAAATCTCTGAAATTATTCTAAATTTTTTAATATTACTTTCACTATATTTTTCTTCTTCAAGTTTTATCCTAATCGTTTTATTTTTTTAATAAATTGTCCATTTAAATTATATTTCATACTTAAATCTTTCTTTTTTTTAAATACATACAAAAAGTCTAATATTATTTACAAAAATTATAATCAATGCACGATTTCATCTTCAGCTCTAACATAAAAAAATTATTATAAAGAGAAAATATTTGTAGTAATATGTAATAGCTTGTGTATGAGAACTAATCTATGACATTATGTAATTATCTATTTTGATGTATTACCCATTTAGAGTATATTTAGTTGATAGTTCATGTAAATTAGTTAAGCTGAATAATTTAACTAGTTTTTAAAAATTTGAGGTATAAATCATTGTTTAAGCAAGTATATTCGCATTTTAAATATTCTTTATAAAGTGTAGGGGCACAAAATGTTAGCCGGAGGGATCGAGATAGAAAAAGCAAAGGTAGACATCATCTCCACACTTCCACCATCAACATTTGTGTAAACATACGAATATTTTTGGGACATGCAGATTTTTACAGGAGATTTATAAAATACTTTTTAAGCATTACAAAATCGCTGCCTGTTTGCTCCCAAAAAATGTCTAGTTTATGTTCACTGATGGATTGTCAACGGGCCGGCCTCTATAATATCGACTCATAAAAATCCACCATTCGAACTATGTACGATTTTTTTGAACTCAATTGCTGGTCAATGCATCATTTCAATTGGGCGGAAAGTATATAAATTCTTTGAATTCCTATTATCCAAAAATCTAAAACTTCAAAAAAAAGATCCAATAAAAAAAAGATTAAATTTGAAATCCAAAAATTCAGACCAAAATTCTAAAAATATACTTCATTGATTTTTACTTGTTCATTATACTAAAAATATATATTTTTCACTTTTACTTATCTATTATAATAAAAATATATGTTCATTATACTAAAAATATATATGTTTTTTCACTTTTACTGGTCACTTAAGCATATCAAGAAAATATTTTTTCATGTTTTATTCTTTATATTAATTACGTATTTTTTCAAATCATTTTCCAAACTTTAAAACTATATATTAAATAAATTTTTACTTTTATTTGTCACTTTAGCATATTAAGAGAATTTTCTATTTCATATTTTATTCTTTATACTAATTACTTACTTTTTCAAATCATATATCAATTGACATAGATACTATTATGATAAAATATTTATACTCCCTAACCATTTTCTTTAAAAAATGTATATATAATAGAGAAATAAAATAGATGAAGAAACCGAATAATTTCAATTCCCAACCATGCTCATTCACTGCACCGGAAAAAAGGAAGCTTCGCATGCTGGATGTTTGAATATTTGTTTACCGGCTTTGTTTGACTTTTCAACTTATTCATACTTGGTCAAAGCAATTTGTCACTTTGGTGTATTTATTAGTGACAATTAAAATGGTTCAAAGTCCAAGAGATCACTAGTTATTCTAACTCTTTACTCTTTCTGTATAAAAATAGTTTCATATTTTGCTTTTTGAAAATTAAATTGAGTAAGTTTTATAACATAGGGAATTACGCTTTTTAAAATTAACTAGTAGATACTCCCTCCGTCCATAATTGTTTGGCAGGTATACTAAAAATAGATGTCCAAGATTAATTGTCAATTTAAACAATCAAGAAATAATTAGTCATTTTTTTCCAATTTTGCCCTTAATGATAGTGTAGTTCAATTGAAAAGTTATGTGGACTTTTGGTATTGTAAGATTATATTAGTCAAATTACACCTTGTATTAAATTTTCCTTGAGAGATGTGCATGACCTTATCCTGACAAACAATTGTGGACGGAGGGAGTATTTAAAAGTAGATTTATACAAATTTCATAGTGTTAAGAGCTAATTACATCTTATTCTTAGTCTTTTTCAACTTACAAAAATCTTTTTAAAATTTGGTGAAATTTGGATACATTTCAAAACATTTTGATACATCGCAGTTTCGGATATATCCTCAACGTCATAATACATTGTTCGATTTCGAATACATCACTTAACATCCCGATACATCGCATAAAGTGATGTATCCAACCGATACATTGCGTAAAGTGACATATCAAATTGATACATCGCGTAAAGCAACTTTTTGATACATTGCGTACATCTTGATACATCGTGTACGTCCTGATATATCGCGTAAAGTGATGTATTCGACTGATATATTGCATAAAGTATGGGTGGGGTGGCCTTCTTTTGAAGGGTGATGGGTGGCGGGGGGAGCGGTGTAAAAAATAAAATTAAAAAAAATAAATTTGAAATATTTTGCAAAAGTAATGTTGTTTTTTTTTTTTTGGGGGGGGGGGGGAGTAGGGGTTGGGTGAGGTAAAAAATATCTAAAAATTTGAAACATTTTTCAAAAAATATTTTGAAATTTAAAAATTTTAATTTTTTTTTGAATGGGGTGGATCGACTACGGGGTATGTGTAGGGTAAGAAAAAAAATTAAAGAATGAAGTAGAGTTTTGGAAAATGTTTTCCTTAATTTTGGAATGGAAGTCATTTTCCTTAAATTTGGAAAACATTTCCAAACATGAGAAAATTGGAAAAAAAATGTTTTCCTCCATACCAATTACCAACCATACCCTAAAAGTAAAGAACATTTGATAATTTTTTTTTATTACCTAGTCATTTACCTCAAAGTAGGGTATTCGTGGTTCGGTTTGGATCGGTTATTGATTAAAACCAAAATCAAACCAATCTTGTCGGTTTTTTTTAAAATTCTAAAACCAAACCAAACCAAACCAAACGAAAAAAATAACCGTCAATTAGGTTATTGTTGGTTTGGTTCGATTTGGTTCAATTTTTATGGTTTATTCGGTTTGAAAGTAATAGTAATTTTTTTGAGGACTTACGTCGATAGACACAAACACCTAGCACATGAACAATCCACATAAAAATTATTATCGGTTCAATTAAGCAATTAAGCAATACTAGAGTAATCATTACACGAACACAGTGTTTCAATTAAGAGAAAGTGTGACTATTTTATGTGAAGTAGGGTAGGTAAAAACTAAAATGAATTTTGATGGACTTGGACTTATGATTGTTATAGTTAGGCTAAAGTGTTGGGCATGAGAAAATTGTAAAGTTAAAGACTTAAGTTAATTAAAATTTAACAAAATATTTATATTTTATTTATGAATAATATATAAATAATTATAAAATTTATATATCTAATTTATCGGTTTGGTTTGGTTATTTTTGCGGTTTTTTTAGTAAAACCAAAACCAAAACCAAACCAAATAATATCGGTTTTCAAAATTTAAAACCAAACCTAACCAAACCCAATCAAATATCGGTTTTTTTAATCGGTTTGGATCGAATTGCGGTTTGGTTTGGTTTTTTAACCATAACCATGAACAATCCTACCTCAAAGTGACTTGTTTAAACAGAAAATAAAATAATAAAGGCAAGTCGCTCAAGCTCCAGCAACAAACTTAATAAATAAATAAATTTTAAAATACGCCGCTCAAAGACTAACTATTTTATAAAATAATTTAAATGAATAAACTGTCATTTGACCATCCGTTATAAATTAGGACAAGTCGCTTAAAGTCCAACGACTAGTCCATTTTGATTAAATGAGAAAATAAATAACTCTTTATGTTTATGCATTTTAGTTAGGAAAAGTACACTATAGGGGTATTCATTCATGCCCCTTCCCAAATAAACATTACAATTCGCAATATCAGTATATCACTATATAATTTGAAAATCTAAACAATCTATTTTTTCAAGAGAAGTGCTAAATGACCAGAAAATTTGGCTAGAAAATTAAAAAACTATAATATTTTTTTAAAAAAAACAAACTGATCTATTTTCCATTTTTTAATTAAAATGTATTAAAATTAAAAGGATAAAAATATTTAAAAAGGTAAAATAACATAGATTTTTTTTTTAATACGAAATTGGGCTGCCAGGGCCCTTTATTAAAATGAGAAAAAGGGAGCAGGCCTCAAAATTACCCAGCCCAGCTAATAAATCCATCTATTAAGACAACAAACTAAAAGACAAAAAGAACAAAAGAAATAAAGATTCCTAAATCCCCAATTCCAGAATGCAGGACTTAGCTCTTCTCTGCAATGGTGAGGGCTGAAAACGGGTCTGCCGGTGGGTGCAACAAGCTGAGGTCGGGTTGTTTCCACATGAGACACTCCAAATTCTCACGAATGCCATGGAAACCTAGCCCATTGAATACACTTCTCCCCAACATGAACAACTCATGTAAGATTCGATTTACATCATGTCTTCTTCTTGTTATCAAGCTTTACATCCGATCTTTGAGCTTCATTTCTAAGATTAGCCCTTTCCTGCAGATTGAGCCAGAAATCTTGCTAAT